TTCCGGTTTGTTGGCGCCAACTAACTGGATCTGCACACCTCAGCTGCGAATCTGATATTTGGTACACAGGAAGACACTGCCCAAATTCTGCATGAGGCACTTAAATCACGAAAATTAAACACGACGATGGTGCGAATGGCTGGAGGGGTTTGTGTAAGTGGAAAATGTGGGCATAACCGCAAATCATTAATTTAAGATCATTAGCCTCTTAGACGGAAGGAGGACAGGCGTCTCGGAACTTAGGTCTCTCTAGTCTGCAACACATTTACCCAGCAAAATTCTACACAAATTATTAAGCCCGCTGCCACCTCCACCGCAGCCCCCTGCTCTGGTCACAACACTACGCCTAAATGCTACGCAATCAGTTCGTCACCGTGCAGTGCCCTTCATTTCTGCCTTCATCGTCTTGGTATATAGCTAGTGACAACCCAGTTAGAATTGTGGCCTGAAGACACAATATCTTGGGTGGTCTTCGTGGTTCTATTCAGTTACTCCACGTAAATACTGGGACAGATGTATCGTGCCTATAACAGAACGAGGCGATTTTTCGATGCACTTCACAAAGAGTTAACTACATAAAAAAACTCTCCGTTCGAATAAGCCCACTTCCGTTCGCACTTCGTCTTCGTCTCTCGTGGCAGCATACCGCGCCTTCTTAAGAACCTGACGGGCGTTAAGCCAGTCCGGAAATTCCCCGTCTTTAGTGGAACCCAGGGTTGATTACCACGTTCCAAAGAGTCACATAAATTCACATTTACACGATTCGTTTTAATATTATCCTCATCTATGACTAGGTCACTAAGTGGTCTGACACACGTCTACAAAACAACCTGGACAGTACGCGAGGCGACGATGACGGCGCAGGGTTGCCGTAGCAACGTCGAGGTTTTCTCGGCCCGGGCGAGGAACCTGATCAATAAAAATAAAAACGTTTTGGCCATTTTTCATTAAATTCCCGCGTCCGCTTCTACCAACCCGTTCGTTCGAGGCCTCGCTCTCAAGACGCAGAGCAGGAGGAGAGGAGGAGAGGAGAGGAAAATAAAAGGTTAGGGGAGTAAGCAGCTTTTTTCCGGTGCTCCTGCGATTCCATTTGCTCGGCTGCAGGGAAAACTCTTTTATTTCCAGTAGAACATCGTTAAGTTCCATCTAAGTCGGGTTTATTTTGTATCCCGGTCCGCTCTGGATTTGATGTAATGGCATAGAGACGAATCTTGTTTGTACACTCACACCGCAAAGTACTGGGTCGGCCGTACAGTCGCTGGATGCTGCTCCAGCACGGAGGCCACAGCAGCGAGTTACAAACAAACAAAGCGAACTGAATTCAATCAATTCATCATTGTCGTATGTAAAACTGAGCTGCACGCACATTAAAACGAGGATCGTCTCACCTTAACATCTGACGTTCGATTTTGTAAATGTCTTCTTCAACTCTGCTAATGTCCAATGGATCTGCACCAGACTTCAGAGTCTCGAAACTGTGGCGACAGATGTCACGTCGCGGCTAATGAGCGCAGTTTGTTCACAGTAATTAACTGCTGACCGCAACAAACAAGTTTGGCGCTCAACGTCGAGGCTCCGTACCGGCCGACGCCCCCCCCCCTCCCCTAAGCCCCTTCTTTTGCGGCGGGATACACGCGCTGGAGCACGGCCCCGCCCCCCCCCCCCTCCCCTAAGCCCCTTCTTTTGCGGCGGGATACACGCGCTGGAGCACGGCCGACGGGCACAGCAGAGCGTAGAGTGGACTGAACTGGCTTGGGACAGGAAGCCAGTCTTGTGTAAGACGAGAGTTTCAGAAGATGCAAGGCACCTTTAATCAGCATAATGGCGTGATAATCGCACCGCTGCTACAGGCAGCATCCGCCTGTGCGTACACACGATTCCGGGCACAAAGCGAGCACAAAACCGGCGAGAGAGTGCGTGTCCAGGTCTCGGCTTCGACTGCGGGGCAAAGTCTGCACAAGCTGGCCAACACTCCAAGCACGAAAGAGATAAACTAACGATGGACTATGGAGACAAATTAAACTGGGAAAACGTTCACAATCCGTCACTTCGGGACATTTCACGCGTCCTATACAGAACAATAAAGCTTGGGCCTACACAAACGCAATCCAAAGTTGCAGTCTCGGGTGGGTATTTCGTCCCAAGAAAGGGTAAGGCGGTGGGAAGCATGTTTCGACCTACGAGGCACGACGCAGTAACAGCGGAAAATGTATTGTGAGGAGCTTCTACATCAAATATTATTGGGGTGAAATAGGGGCGGGGGTGCATCAGACACTCATATAATAAACTACGCTGCGTTCACTGATAAAGTTGAACGCAACTGTCAATACGCGGCTCTCAGTATTATTGATTTCATTGCATTTGTGACTCGAACCAGGAAAATCCTGTGGCGCTTGGCGGTGAGTCATGCAGTTCCAGGCCGGGAGTCGAAAAATGATATTTGCATTGAACTTTATCGGTGACCGCACACGTTTTGATCGGAAACCGTCACGCGAAGAAAATGTGTAAACATGCGTAAGGTCTGATGATGGCTGTCT